GATCTGAAAACCAATTGCTAGTTAATCAAATAATATACAGTTGACCCTTGAACAACATGGGTTTGAACTGTGCAGATTTACTTATATGCAGATTTTTTTCTATGAATACAGTACTGTATTGTGTATGTTCTTCATAATTTTCTCTTTTTTTTAAGATTTATTTATTCAAGAGAGAGGGAGTGAGCACGTGAGCAGGTGCATGGAGGGAGGAGCAGAGGGAGAGCAGAAAGAGAATTTTTTTTTTTTTAAAGATTTTATTTATTTATTTGACAGAGAGACACAGTGAGAGAGGGAACACAAGCAGGGGGAGTGGGAGAGGGAGAAGCAGGCTTCCCGCTGAGCGGGGAGCCCGATGCGGGGCTCGATCCCAGGACCCCGGGATCATGACCTGAGCTGAAGGCAGACGCTTAACGACTGAGCCACCCAGGCGCCCCAGAAAGAGAATTTTAAGCAGACTCCACACTGAGCGTGGAGCCCAACACAGGGCTTGCTCCCAGGACCCTGAGATCATGATCTGAGCCGAAACCAAGAGTCGGATGCTTAACTGACTGCGCCACCCAGGAGCCCCATTCCTTATGATTTTCTTTTTTTTTTTTTTTAATATTTTATTTATTTATTTGAGAAAGAGAATGAGATAGAGAGAGTACATGAGAGGGGGGAGGGCCAGAGGGAGAAGCAGACTCCCCGCCCAGCAGGGAGCCCGATGCGGGACTAGACCCCAGGACTTCAGGATCATGACCTGAGCCGAAGGCAGCTGCCCAACCAACCGAGCCACCCAGGCACCCTCCTTATGATTTTCTTAATATTTTCTTTTTTCTAGCTAACTTTACTGTAAGAATTCATTATATAATACATATGACATACAAAACATGTCAATTAATTGTTTATGTTATTGGTAAGGCTTCCAGTCACTAGTAGCCTATGTCAATATAGTTAAGTTTTTGGGGAGTCAGAAGTTGCATGTGGACTTTAGACTGTGCAGGAGGTTGGTGCCCCAACCTCAGCATTGTTCAAGAGTCAACCATATTTCCAAAATATTGCTAGCTCAACATTAGGAAAATCAGATTTCAAAAAGAGCACTTAACATTGTAGAGGTGGCCAGGCACTAGTCATAAATATGGAAGAACAAGATGATTGTAAGTAGATTGACCACTGTCATACAATTTTTCGGATTTGGGAGGGCTTGCTATTCCCACACGAGCTGAGTGTGGCTGCAGCGGTCCAGGCAGCATCAGCCCATTCCTGGTAGCAATGTCATGGGCGCCCACCGGGAAATGCTTTCAGATGAGTTGTCCCTGTGCCCTGAAACACGGACGTGGCCAGTTCCTCGGTCATTTGTTCCAGTTTGTTTCCTTCCTTCCTTGTAAAAGACTCTTTCCTTAGTGTTTTTTGTAGCCTATCTCAATGTCAAGTGGGCCCATAAGTTGCTTGGGTAATATTTATTTTTTGCTGGAAAGTATGAATTTGTTGGAAAGATTTGAGTCCTCGGAAGCCTGTCCCTGTCCCTTGTGGGAGGTAGGGAATGGCAGAGGAAGCACCATGGTCGCAGCACCAGTGACAGGTTTTGCATCCTGGATGACACATTTGTATGGTTCATCTTCTATTCGAGGACAAGTTCAATCCATCTTAATCTCATCTTTAATCACAGACAGTGATTAAGTTAATCACTTTCTGTACTTTAGAAAGTATAAACATCTTTTGCTGTGCTTTATTTTAAAAGATTTATTTATTTATTTGACAGAGAGAGAGCACACAAGCAGGGGGAGCAGTAGAGGGAGAGGGAGAAACAGGCTCTCCACTGAGCAGGGAGCCTGATGCAGGGCTCGATTCCAGGACCCTTAACTGCTTAACCGACTGGGCCATCCAGGTGCCCCTTCTGCCGTGCTTTAAAACAGCTGTGATGCTTTGGGGTACTGAATATTGGTCTCTTGACCCATCTTTTCAGGAGGAAGACATGGGACACACCTGACTAGGGAGATGCTTTTGTGCTTAATGTCATGCTTAATCTCACTTGAATTGGAGGCAAGAGACACACCCTAAAAAAAAAAGAACTTCAGCGTCTGCCTTCAGCTCGGGTCATGATCCCGGGGTCCTGGGATCGAGTCCCACATCGGGCTCCCTGCCCCTTGGGGAGCCTGCTTCTCCCTCCGCCTCTCTCTCTCTGTCTCTCATGAACAAATAAATAAAATCAAAAAAAAAAGATGATATATGTATATATTTACTCAAAAAAAGAACTTCTTTTGGAAACTTATTTGCTAGGTTGCCTTTGTAAGGTCTCTGACAATGGTGGTATATTAGTCAGATCTAAGACCTAAGGGATAATTGGCACAAAGCGGTTCATTGAAAAATAATTAATTCCTTGGCAATGAACTCTTTTCAATGGCATGGAAGGCCTTACCCTGTTCCCACCCAGGCACACATGTATGAACACTGTAGCAAGCCACGTTCCCCTCTGGTCACTACAGAGGCCACGCTGGCCTTCTTGGACCTCCTTAAACCTCACACACTTATTTTTCCACCTCAGGGTCTTTGCACATGCTGTTTCCTCTGCCTAGAAGGCTCCTTTCCCACTTTTCTGAAATGGTCACTGCTCCATAATCATTTGGGTCTGGCTCAGAGGTTGCCTCTTTTGACCATTTCATCTAAAAGAGCCCTCACCATCACTCACGGTCCCCTTACCCTAACTATATATATTATATGGCACATATCCCTGTCTCAAATAGCTTTATTTATAGTATTACATGTTTGAAGTTTCTCTTTGACTAGAAAGGAGGCTTCAAACAAGGACCCTCAGTCGTTTTCTGCACTGTGGCTCCAGCACCTAGAATAATGCCAGCCTTTTATAAATGCCCAGTAAACGTTTATTGAATACGTGTTTGTATTCATTGAATGTACTCTAATTGCATAATGTCATATGTGAATTCCAAAGACTTAATTAAGGTAGTTCGCATTTATATTAAGAGAGACATTTATATTGCTTTCAAATGAGACAGGTCAGGATTCCAGCTAGAGGGGCGCCTGGGTGGCTCAGTCCATTGAGCGTCTGCCTTCAGCTCAGGTCATGATCCCAGGTATCCAGCCCTACGTTGGGCTCCTTGCTTAGCGGGAAGCCTGTCTCCCTCTCCCTCTGCCTACTGCTCATGTGTGCTCTCTCTCGCTCTCGCTTGCTCTCTCTCTCAAATAAATAAAGTCTTTTTTTTTTAAGATTCTATTTATTTATTTGACAGACACAGCGAGAGAGGGAACACATGCCCTTCATACCTGGTGTCCTCAGAAGCTGAGCAGAATTTCAGCTCTTGTTGCTGTTTCTTTTCCACGGCTAGGTTTCGTTCACATTTTCTGTTTTCTAAGGCTACTAATAGGCATTAGTGGTTTTTCAGAACTTGTGGTGACATCTTGTGAATAAGTCTTATAAAGAAGTAAGTAAGATTAGGGGCACCTGGGTGGCTCAGTCGTTAAGCACCTGCCTTCGGCTCAGGTCATGATCTCAGGGTCCTGGGATTGAGCCCTGCATCGGGCTCCCTGCTCCGCGGGAAGCCTGCTTCTCCCTCTCCCACTCCCCCTGCTTGTGTTCCCTCTCTCGCTGTCTCTGTCTGTCAAATAAATAAATAAAATCTTTAAAAAAAAAAAGTAAGTAAGATTAAAGACACACCATGTTGATGAATTGCAAGATTCAGCACAGTGAAGATGTCAGATCTCAAAGTGATCTGTAAACAATTCCAGTCAAAATCCCAGCAAGATTTTCTTGTAGATACAGACAAGCTAATTTTAAAATTTATAGAGAAAGCAAAGGAACTAGGATGACTGAAATAATTTTGAAGAAGAATGAAGTTAGAAGCAAGCCACTACCCAATTGTATAATATAGATTATAAATAAAATGTAGGTTTGATAATGGAGATTTTAGATACAGATTTATAAAGCTATGGTAATCAAGAGCATGGAATTGGTGGAGGGATGGACACATGGATCCATGGAACAGAGTGGAGGACAGAGACCCACACAAGGATGGCCAGTTAATTTTTTTGAAAGAGGTGCAGAGATAACTTAATGGAGAAAGGGCAGTCTTTTCAACAAATGGTGTTGGAACAATTGGATATCCATATGTGAAACAAAAAAAAAACCTTAGACCTAAACTTCCTGTCTAATACAGAGATTAACCCCAAATGGATCACCGGTCTAAATGTGAAACTATCAGAAGAAAAACTTAGGTCTCTGTGGCTGGGGCCAGGCAGATAGTTAGAAAGCATGCACCGTGAGAGAAAAAGCTGATAAAATGGATTTCATCAAAACTAAAAACTCTTGGCCTGCAAAAGATACCAATAAGCAAATAAAATAAGCTACAGGGGCACCTGGGTGGCTCAGTCGGTTAAGCTCTGCCTCTTGGTTTCAGCTCAGGTCATGATCTCATGGGTTGTGGGATAGAGCCCTGAGTCGGGCTCCCCACTCAGTGGGGAGTCTGCTTGAAAGATTCTCTCCCTCTGCCCCTCCCCTGCTCGTTCTCTCTCTCTCTCTCAGAGTAAATAAATCTTGCAAAAAAAAGAAAGAAAGAAAGAAAGAAGCTACAGACTGAGAAAAAATATTTGCAAATCACATGTCCAACAAAGGACTTTATCCAAAAAACATAAAAGAGTTCTCAGAACTCGGCAGGTGAAAAAACAACCCACATAAAAAATGGACATAAGAAAAAAAAATGGGCATAAGACTTAAAACAGACGCTTCACCAAAGCTGTGGCGATGGCAAAGAAGCACATGAAAAGATGCTTAACACCATTATTAGCCACCAGGGAAACGCAGATCAAAGCCCTGATGAGCTAGCACTACCCACTTCCTAGAATGTCTCCATTTAACAAAGGAGACGCTACAGTGGTGAGGATGCGGAGCCCCTGGAACTCTCCTTGTGCATTTGTTGGCGGGAGCGCAAATGGTACACCACTTTGGGAAACAGTTGGCAATTTCTTACAAAATTAGACAGCCATCTCATCCCTCCTCTAGGGATGTGAAAGGTCATGTTCACACAAAAACCTGCCCATGACTGTTCATACCGGCCCTCCATAATTGCCCCAAACTGGAAACAGCCCAGATGCCCTTGAGTGGATGAGCGGATGGGCTTCTGCATCCATCTGATGGAAAACTCTGTGATGAAGGGACAAACCTGCTGCCACAGCAACTTATGGCAGGTATCTCTGAGGCATGGTGCTGAGGGAGAGGAGCCCGTCTCAAAAGGTTATGCCCTTCGAGACCAGGAGCGGAGTGGTGGGTGCCGGGGCTGGGGAGGGGGAGTTAGTGTTCGATGGGGACAGAGTTTCAGTTTTACAAGATGGAAAGAGCCATGGGGATGGGTGGCGGGGCCGGCTGCACAACACTGAATATTTAGTACCCCGAACTATACCCTTAAAAATGGTTAAGATGGTGAATTTTGCTAAATGCATTTTATCACAAAAAGAAAAAAAAGTCATGTACTGCTTAATTTCACTGAAGATTTTTTTTTTTAAGATGTTGTTTATTTATTTGACAGAGACAACGAGAGAGGGAACACAAGCAGGAGGAGTGGGAGAGGGAGAAGCAGGCTTCCCGCCGAGCAGGGAGCCCGATGCGGGGCTCGATCCCAGGACCCTGGGATCATGACCTGAGCCGAAGGCAGACGTTAAGAATTGAGCCACCCAGGCGCCCCTCACCAAAGATATTACTGAAAAGACAACGTAGTGGCCTAGCACAGGGCTAGGGGAGGGTGTGGCTACAAAGGGGTGACACAAGAGTCACAAGCTAACCCCAGGCCTTTTACATACCTGATTGCAAAAGCCCATCGAAGTGGTTTTCACGGCCTCCTTTGAAGGCTCGGACTGCTACCTTGCGAGCAGTCGCACACAGTAGCCATGCCTGTTTAATATTTCAGTACAGCGTCCGATGCAAACTTTGTCCTCCTTGCAGTTGACTTTTTATTCTCCCAGTTGTTTCGGTTTCCTGTAGTTCAGCCCGGTGGTCCTGGGAATGCCCCTGTGAACTGGGCTGACACTCGGGTAGGGACGGCTCTGGGGAGACTGTCAGTGAGAAGCAGTGGATTGCACCAGGGCCCTGTGTCAGAGTTGTTTTCTGAGGCTTAAAAAATGCAGATGCTCAGAATGAACTGCGGGGAGATTTAGGCAGTTCAGAATCTGTGTTTGGGCCAGGCCTGGCCACAGGTGTGTGTGCACCTGCGTGTGCGTGTAAGGTTCTAAGCTCCATGGTGATGATACTGAGCAGTCTGGTTTGGGATCCATGGGGTAGAAGGGCAGTCAGACACAGGCAGGCCAGAGTGAGGGAGCCACGTGTCATAGGAGTGCATGGGAGGGCTATCAGTCAAGCCCTGGCTGGGGGTGGGGTGGTCTTCCTGAAGGAAGACTTCCTGGAGGCGGTGACTGCTGAGCCAGAGTCCCGAAGGCATGGAGAATTGCTAGACAAGGATAAGGAGTCTGTTCATGCAGAGGGAAAAGAGTGGGGCTCTGGGGGCCTTGTACTTGTGGAGAAGGATGTGGCACGGAGCAGATGGAAGAGGTCACCGGAGCAGAGCAGGGAGCAGGGGCAGAGGCCCCAGTGGCATGAAGCATGACTGAGGCTTGCTCGCAAAGACCGTTTCTCCAGTGCCATCCGGGCCGCCTCAGTCAGTCACCTGGAGGATCTGCTGTTGCTGGTATCCTGGGCCCCACCAGGATCGGCCACTCTGGGGGCTGGGCCTGGAGACCTCCAGTTATAACCGGTGCCCGAGGGACTGGCGTCAGAGCCGCAGCAGGGAGAGGTGGGGAGCTACCAAAGAGCTTTCTACCAAGAGTTTGCTGCACCCGTGTGTCTCACTCATGTTTTGTAACCCAGCTCATGCTTGGCAACCACTGCTGGGCCTTGAATTTGGGAGCTCTAGGCTTTTCTAGGTTTCCTGGAGAAAAACATTGTGGACTACCCATAAAAACATGCAGGCCCTTCTGTAGGTGTTTGTTCGTACAAGCATTGTTTTCCAGGAGGAAGTGGAACCTTGTCCACGGGGCTCTGGGGCTACTAGTTTTTGTTGGGGAAGAAGGTGAGGGCTCTGTCCTGGGGGAGAAGGTGACACTTCTCGGTCTCCTGGTGTCCTTCTCAGGAACAGCAACCAAGCTGGACAGATGACCTGCCGCTCTGCCACCTCTCTGGCGTTGGTTCGGCCTCCAACCGCAGCTACTCTGCTGATGGCAAGGGCACTGAAAGCCACCCACCGGAGGACAGCTGGCTCAAGTTCAGGTGAGTGTGCCGGCGGTGTCCCCCTGGGCATCGGAAGCAGGTCTGTGGGCAAGAAAAAGCCACAGTTTTGCACCTCTCTCAAATGGGGCTCGCCACTGAGATGTGGGAGGTGGCACCTGCTGCTGTCCCTTGCACAGCTGGACCTCACACCCACCCAGGGCCTGCTACCGTGGGGGCGGGAAGTGTCCCAGAAGGCCATGCCCGCGGGGAAGGAAGGTCAATGTGGGGAGACTCAGGTGGGCAGCTGAAGCCACCGCTGCTGTGTCTTTGGCCTCCCCCAATCCTGGCCCTCCTCCCCTCCGCTTGGGAACTGGTGTCACTCTTCTGTAAGCCCCCAGTCTCAAGCTGCTCCCCCTCTCTCTGGCAGGAGTGAGAACAACTGCTTCCTGTACGGGGTCTTCAACGGCTATGATGGCAACCGAGTGACCAGCTTCGTGGCCCAGCGGCTGTCTGCTGAGCTCCTGCTGGGCCAGCTCAGCGCCGAGCACACCGAGGCGGACGTGCGGCGCGTGCTGCTGCAGGTAGCGTTGCTCGGGCTGGCTGACCGGGTCCCCCGGGAGCTCAGCCCGGCAACTGCAAAGTGCTGGGTTAGCCAGGCTTGGTCTGAAGGGGCTGCCGGCTCCTTCTCCTGCAGAGGAACCCGCTCTGGGAGCCTTTCCCGGTGGCAGGGTGTGAGGAGCGTAATGGCCGTGGGGCCTAGAATTTAAAGTGGTAAGGGCCCCGGGCAGTGAGGAAGTTTAGGAGCTGTTTACTGCTGTGTAACTTAAGGAGCAAGGATCTTATTTTTATTTTATTTTATTTATTTAAAGATTTTATTTTATTTATTTTTAAACATTTTACTTATTTATTTGAGAGAGAGAGCACAGAGGGAGAGGGTGAAACAGACTCCCTGCTGAGCGGAGAGTCCAGTGTGGGACTCGATCCCAGGACCCTGAGATCATGACCTGAGCCAAAGGCAGATACTTAACTGATTGAGCCACCCAGGCGCCCCAAAAGATTTTATTTTATTTTTTTTAAAGATTTTATTTATTTATTTGACAGAGAGAGACAGCAAGAGAGGGAACACAAGCAAGGGGAGTGGGAGAAGGAAAAGCAGGCTTCTTGCTGAGCAGGGAACTCGATGCGGGGCTCGAGTTCCCCGCATCAGGGGGTCATGGGATCATGACCCGAGCCGAAGGCAGACACCCAACAACTGAGCCACCAGGCGCCCCGATTTTATTTTTTTTAAAGTAATCTCTACACCCAATGTGGGGCGTGAGGCTCAAACTTACAACCCCATGATCAAGAGTCACATGCTCTTCTGACTAAGCCAGCTAGGCGTCCTAAGGAGCAAAGATTTTAAAAGCCCGTTGTGGCATTCAGCAATGCCAGAGGCCTGTGTTCGAGATGAAAGTTCCACGGAGGCCCTGTTGGAGAGCCCAGTGCTATGTTATATGGACAGTAACATGAGATCCTGGATCTGAGGATCTGAGTCATGGTGTCAGGAGGCCTTGCTGGGGGTAGGTTGCACTTAGAAAGACTGCTGCCCCACAGAGGTGTTCCAGGTGGATGTAGCCAGCCATGAGCCGGTACAGTACCACACTTGTAACAGTGCAGCGGGTCGTGCCCACCGATGGAGGAAGTGGCCCAGTGAATTCAACTGGCCAGCAGCTAAGAGGTTTGTCCCCTCACAGGCCCAAAGAATGGCAGTTTCCGGCCTTTGGTTTGGTAGCACAATTTGCAATTCAAAACAGTGCATTTTGGAAGCGCTGTGGGGGCACAGTGCCCCTGCTGGAGCTCAGGCCCTTGTGGTCACAGCTCCCCCAAGACCGGAAGGGATGGGGGACCAGAGAGGACCCTTAGGCCAGGGAAGAAGGAGTATGGAACAGTGGAGTGGAGGGTTGGAGAGCTGGTGGAGTTGTCCTCGGAGTGGAGGGTTGTGCTTGAGAGCCCCAAATGGGTGGTGACTGGGATTCAGGCAAGGGAATCCATCTGGAGCTTAGAGACAGCCTCTGGTGTGCTAGTGTTTGCATATGCTCTAGTGTGGGTGACCTTCATCACCCTGGTGCCCTCCAAACTGGAACAGCCCAGATGGGTCAGCCTTGCATGTGAAAGTCACCCCACTGCCATTGGCCTGACCAAACCGCCAGCCTGTGAGCAGCTGCCTGTGGGAGTCGGTAAAAATATGGACAAGAGGCATGTCGTGGGCAGCCGTGCACGGTGCAGCCATTTGTCCTGAGGAGGCCAAGCTGACCCCGCCTTGCCACAGTCAGTGGGGGCGCTGCCATCCACGAGGCGCACGGACCCCCTTCGCTATCCCAGCTTGCCAGGGCCTCAGGCAGTGGTGGCTCTGTCACCGCTTCCCCAAGGTCCGTGGGCAGGGGGCTGAGGAGCGCGGAAGCCGCATCCTCCTGCAGCTGGGTAAGACCTGCCCTGCTGAATTTAGCCCGTTCCCAAAGGGACCCTTTCCGCTGTGGCGAATTGGCATTTGTAGTGGTGTCGAGCCACTGCCGGGAGCCGTCCCTGATCTATGATATCGTGAGGAAGGTGAGTAGGGCAGCCCTAGTCCGTGAGGGCCTCGGTTGCTAACAAAGCCCACGAAGGAGCCAGAATCCGAGGTTCTGAGGGCATGCAGCCGTCTGGGCCGGAAGCCCACAGGCAGCCAGGAGGGGCCGTGGTTAGTCTGTCGTCCCCAGGACGCCGAGGCCACCTGGAAGAAGGAGCCGAGGGAACAAGGGAGCGGGCTTGATGAGTTGACCTTTGAGCCATTGGGCTTTCCTTTTTTTTTTTTTTTCTTCAGATTTTATTTCTTTATTTGACCGAGAGAGCGAGTGAGCACAGGGGAAGCGGCAGAGGGAGAGGGAGAAGCAGCCTCCCACTGAGCAGGGAGCCCGACGTGGGGCTCAGTCCCAGGACCCCGGGATCATGACCTGAGCCAAAGGCAGACGCTTAACGGACTGAGCCACCCAGGTTCCCCGAGCCAGCGGGCTTTCAAGCTCGAACTCGCTGTGGAGCTTCTCCTTGCTTTGCTGGTGCCTGGATAAAGAAAGGAGGAGAGTGTGGTGTGTGTTGCCTCCAAAGTGTGAGGAGACGCAAGGCGTGGCGGGCTTGTCTTAGTGTGGTGGGAGACTGAATGGTTCACAATTGGTGTTTAGCTCAAGTGGAATTTCCCTGCCTTTACGGGACGAATTAAGGCCCTTGAATTTTATGTGGGGCAATAGCCCAACCTCTGTGTTGCAGGTGGATCCCATCCCATGGAGGTTGAACGCCTTCTATATCCTGCCTGTTAACGCCTTGTCATTTAAAGGGTGCCCCTCACTGATGTGGGGAAGGGTTCCCAGGAAGTGTCCACAAGAGCAGTAAAATGTCTTTATGTCTTTATGTGTCCCAGTGGGTAATTAGAGAAGTATACGGATGGTTGTCTCCTGGAGGAGGGACAGGCCCCAGGGGACAGCTGGGTCCCTGGGGCAGGGGCGTGGGCAGGGCCTGGGATCCAGATCCTGCTGTAGGGGCTCGGGCATGCCAGCAGGTGACAGCATACACAGCACCTGAGCAAAGACCTCTAACTTGTGTCCTGGCCGTCTTGAGAGCAAGTCATGAAGGGTCCCTGATCTCCGGAGCTACCCAGAGAGGCCTGTGGGTCATCTCAGGAGGGTTGCAGGCCACCCCTCCGTGGGTACCCAGAAGGGGCCCAGGAGCCTCCGTATCTCCTCGGGCCCCTCCATTGGGTTCCTGGCTGTAGGGGCAAACAAGATTTGGGCTTAAATCTGAGTCAGGAGAGGCGGAGTGTCTTCTTCCTTATCTCGGAGGGCTCCTGAGCCTTCGGGGATCTCTTCCTCAGAGCCTGCCACCTTTTTTGATTTTGTCTGTCTCCTGCCTTTGTGGCTTGACACATTTGGAGGCCCTGTGGTGCCAAGTCCGGGGGTCCTCTAGGGTGTCTCTAATAAAATGGGTCCTCAGTACCTTGGGTGTTTTGTTTTTTTAACCAATTATGAATTTTAGAGTTGTTGGCCAGGCTAGCCAAACTGACCCATCTCAGCCGCTGCAAAGAACAGCTCGGAGCCAGTTCAGAGTCCCGTAAGAGTCAGTCAGCACCCTTCTCCCCACTTTGAACAAATGTTTCTAGAAAACCTTGTATTGCCAACCTGGTACAGTTACTGGTCTCCATTTCCGGGTCACGCTGGTCATCATTGGACATGCTGGTGCGATGGAAGGTAGCCGGGAACACCTGGGTGTTGTCTCCTTCAACACCTAGGCGGCTGTCTCCTTCCTGACTCGTGCCGCCGCCTCTGGCTCTGGGGTGGCCTGGTATATGTCCGGGGAAGCGGCTCCACCGGTGCAGCGCTCACCAGCGTGTCTGGGAAGGCCCCCCAGCCCCGAGAACTTAGCAGCAACAGTTGGGCCTGTTACACCACGGCGCTCGGTGAGGCCTGTCACTCCACGGCGCTCAGGAAGGCCCGGGCCGTTTCAGCAGAGCTTTCCAAGAGCCTAGCAGTTTTGCAGCCTCTGGGGACTGGGGAGGAGCTGGTAGCCGTGTGCTCAGGGGCCCCGCTTTTAGTGAGGGTTCGTTCTGCTGTAGCACACCAGGGACGGGACTCCCAGTATCCCCTGGGGTTGGGGGATGATTTGTGACAGCAGGGAACACAGCAACAAAGAAGGCGCTGACCCGGGGTGCCGTGATGCCCCTGGTGGAGTTGCCTGTGCCACCGGTTAGGGCTGGCTGCCCAAGCTCAACAGCCAGCCCCGACCACCAGCACAGCGGCCCCAGCAGCCAGCCTCCCTTTTCTGGCACTAATCTGGGGGAACTCTCCTTGGCTCCCAGGGGCCGTATAGCCTGTGCCCCTGCTGGGAAAGAGGCAGAACCCTACTGTCCTAGTTAGCTCACTGGGGCTCGACTTTCACCTGTGATTATAACCAGTCACCTCCAGACCAGCCACCCAGTGGGGTCTCATTTAGAGACGAATGGGAAACACATCCACCTCAGATCGGGGCCTGCTGGCAGGTCTCTGCAGGGGAGCCTGACCTTTTACAGCACGAACGATTTCAGGTGGGCATTTGGGGCAGCACCCGGCTTGGTGCCAGGCAACACCACAGACGGCCGGCCAGCAAGCAGTGGTTCCTTCCCGGAGAACCGGATCAGTCTGGGGGAGGAAGTTAGCAAGCCATTCACAGCTCCCAGGCATCATGTAGGACAGACTGCCCCCACCCCCAATCCCATCCTTGTCACCAGTTGTGCTGCGAAGCCAGAGCAGGTATATTGAATTAAGATGATGTCATGAGGTTGGCAGGTAGCTCCCTCAGCCTCCAGGCACCCCTCTGGGGACGGGAGACCCACAGGACTGTTCTGACCCAAGGTGCAATCTCACGTGCCACAGATTTATTATTACTTACAGATCCTAGAAGCAAGAGGGCGCCACTGAGCAGGGGTGGGTGGGTGGACAGTCCTCCATCCCGGGTCGGGAGCCCGCACCTGTTACTAACGAGGTGGTTGGGGTGGAGGTCACTACTCTCATAGCCTTAACTCTACGTGGTTATTTTAAAAGGTGCCCCAGGAACTGCGAAGCAGGAATTTTGGGTGGGACTCCTGAGCTCAGGCCCTTATCTAAGAGTCCAGACTCTGGTTAGGAGCAGGGTTGTCACACTGTCAGACATGTAGGCAGCCGCTCAAAGGCAAAGTTGTTTTTCTCCAAAGTTGTTCCCATCACACAGGCTCCCTACACCCCCAGAGTCCGGGACCAGGCAGCCAGCTGCAGTCCTTCCCCATGAGTGGCTGGGTGGGCTCTGGAGGGATCCTCCTGGGGAGAGGGGCATCAGGGATGTACCTTGGACAAAGGGGTGTGGTGGGAGAGGGCTGAGGAATGGTAATTTAGGATGATCCCTTTCCTCCAGCTGAGGCTTAGGTGCTCAGCTTCTTGGGGCTGCAGGCAGCCCTGGGCCTTGCCTCCTCACTTTGGGTTTGCTGGGACTCACTGGCCAATTCTGCTTTCTGCTTGCTGATGTTCTGGAGGTTTTCCTCCTGGCGTCTCTTTTCGGAAGCACGTCCAGAGGCACTTAGTTTTCAGTGAGAAGGATGGATTCCTGTTCCTCGAAAACAGTGTTCCCGGCCATTTTCCAGCCTCAGCACCTGGGCCAGAGGGCCTCCATGGCTTCAGGGCCCCGCGCCAGTGATTCTCGGCTGGTTCCCCCATCCCCCTACCCCCTGAAAGGCAGCAGTGTGACCGGCTGACGGGCAGTTGACTGGCAGGATGTAGTGATGATACGAGGTGTCACTGCCCTTGGCTCCCGCTGAGCCAGGTGCTGGGTGCGCAGGGTGGATTATCTCAGTGCCCACCCCCCCCCCGCCCCCCAGAGCAGCACTTGTCTCCTTCGTGGATGACATGGAGACTGCCCGGCGGACAAGTGGCAGAGCTGGGATTCACCCCGGGTGGCCTGATTCCAAGTCTTGCTCGGAACCTCTCTGCGGGCTCCTGCCTCTCTGGTCTCTGCAGGGCTACCTAGAAGGCTCCAGCCCCATGGGGCTGACGTCTCTGTCCGACACGGCTCTGTGGGAACCACAGGCCTTGCAGTACTACCTGTGAAGCCCCTATCACGTGATGGCCTGCAGTTCGTACAGAATTTGTCACTATTTTTTTTAAGATTTTATTTATTTATTAGAGAGAGAGAGAGAGAGATAGCAAGAGAGAGCAGAGTAGGAGGGAGGGGCAGAGAGAGAAGCAGGCTCCCCGCCGAGCAGGGAGACGCGGGGCTCCATCCTGGGACCTGGACTCATGACCTGAGCCTAAGGCAGTTGCTCAACCACCTGAGCCACCCAGGCGCCCCCAGAATTTGTCACTATTAATAGGCATTTCAGTATCTGGTGACAATGGTATTTTGAACTGGCCTTTTCCCTGATCCCCCTCCCTGTCTCTTTGCCTCCAGGCCTTCGATGTGGTAGAAAGGAGCTTCCTGGAGTCCATTGATGATGCGTTGGCTGAGAAGGCGAGCCTCCAGTCCCAGCTGCCAGAGGTGATCTCCCCAGCCTGTTACCCCAGGGAAGCACCCCAAGGCCCAGCTTTGTGAGGAGCAGGGACTTACCTGCCATGTCACTCCCCAGCCATTGACATGACTGGGCCAGAGCGGCAGGAATTAGGGGGATAGTTCCTGACTGAGGGACTGGGCAACAGTGCGTTTGCAGAGGCACCCCCCCCCCCCGAGGGGCCTCCCTGGCCCATTGTGGGCAGCTTCACTTGGGTTCGGCATAGGGGTGGGCAGTGAAGGATGTGAGAAAAGCCCCTTCCAGCTCAGTCCTCGACCTGAACCTGTCCATAAGCCCTCATCACCCCCCCCCCCCCACCCGCCCCCGGCACTTCCAGAACTGACAGGACGAGTAAGGTCATGTCTGGCCTTCCTGCGAGAAGCCTGCCCTTGAGCCGCAGCACGGCTTCATCCTGGCCAGGCCCTCGGATCCTTGCCTTTTAAGGGAGGGGCAGCTGGTGAGATGGTCTCCGAGGACCCAGCCTGCTCTGACCCCCTGATGCTGGCCTGTAGGGTGTCCCTCAGCACCAGCTGCCTCCTCAGTATCAGAAGATCCTCGAAAGACTCAAGGCACTGGAGAGGGAGATTTCGGGAGGAGCCATGGCCGTCGTGGCGGTCCTGCTCAACAACAAGCTCTACGTCGCCAATGTCGGTGAGCCACCTACGTGTCCCAGGGCGGGGAGTGCTGGGCAAGAGATCAGCCTCAAGGTCTGTGTGTTCTTTGGACAGTCTGCTTCCCAGACACGTAAGCCCTCCAGCCCGTGTCTCCTGGGGCCATGGGGTCCGTTTCCCTATTTCTGCACAGGAATGCCCCAGTCCCAGTGCGGGGAGTTAGCGGTACCGGCTAGGAGGCGGGTCTCCCGGCTTTCGTCCCCACTCTGCCCCCAACTGGCCATGGGCGAGTTGTGTCCCCTCTCTGGGTCACCTCAGTGGCTTCCTCTTCTGGAAGAGGTCGCCTGGCTGTGGAAGACCCACTCGGCATCCCAGGAAGGGTGGCGAGATGGGCTGGGTGAGGGGCCATGAGGATATTTGGACTTGTGGGCAAAGAAGAGGCCATCTGGGAACCCAAGAAGGTCCTACCCACAGGGTGCAGATTACTATAGGAGCAGTGTAGAGACCCCACTGATAATATCCCCCTTTTCCTTAAGATTTCATTGTGGACAGAACTCAAAAATGTGAAAAGATAGGGTGAAAAGCAGGGAGTGAACACCCGTGTGTGCCCATCCCCCAGCCCCAGCAGTCACCCCCGCGAGACCAGTCTCATTTCCTCTCCACCCCTTTGTCCCCATGAACCCCAGACATCATGTCATGTTATCTCTTTGTAAATAGTTCAGTACGTCTCTCTAGAGAGAAGGTCTCCTAGTAAAATCATAGTTATCCTAGGATGACACTGGGAAAGTTTAACCTGATTCCTTAATATCAGCAGCATGCCCTGACTGGTGTCTCACCCCAGTGGTCTCAGCCTATTTGCTTTGCTCGTTCCAAGGATTTCCCTGTGTGAGATGCCTGCCTCCTCTCTCTCTCTCTCTCTCTCTCTCTCTCTCTCTCTCTCTCTCTCCCTCCCTCTCTCTCCCTCCGCTCAACACGTCTGTTCCTCCCCGTATCCTCCCCTTATGCAGACTTGGCTCAGCTTCTCAAATTCTCCTGCAGGTACAAATCGTGCCCTTCTATGCAAATCCACGGTGGACGGGCTGCAGGTGACCCAGCTGAATGTGGACCACACCACAGAGAATGAGGACGAGCTCTTCCGCCTCTCTCAGCTGGGTGCGTCAGCGTGGGGCCGGCCCCCATGGCTCACCCTCTGTCCTCTTCTGGGTGCTGTGTAGGGAGAGGAGTGAAGTGCTCAGGCGCTGACCTTGGGCTTGGGACCAGCCTGCCTGGGGTTGGATCCCAGCTCTGCCCCTTACTAGCTGGTGATGTTCAGAATTTTGGAAGTTTTTTGTGCCTCAGTTTCCCCATCTGTGTAAAGAGGATCGTAGTAACACCTGCCGCAGGGCATCATGAGGGTTAAGAGCCCTTATGTGGAAAGTGCTTCTAAGAGTACTGAGCATGCAGTAGGTACTATGATTGCTAGAGACTAAGAGGCCAGAGAAGTCCCAAGGTTGCAGCCACCACAGCGTAGCCGCTCCCTCCCTGCCCAGGGCCTCTGCGGGAGGGGGCGTTCTGGTGGGGCTGGGCACTGAGGGCACTGGGGCTCTTCGTGTGAGCTGCTCCCTAGGGTGCCCTGATGTGACTTCATTTTCCGTTCAGGGGGTTCTCTTTGCCTTGTTTTGGGGGCTATGTCTGTATGCCGTTCTTTTCGTTCTTCATGATGAACAGGATCTGGGATTGTCCTGTTCTCCCTCTGGCAGGTTTAGATGCAGGAAAGATCAAGCAAGTGGGGATCATCTGTGGGCAGGAGAGCACCAGACGCATCGGGGATTACAAGGTCAAATACGGCTACACTGACATCGACCTACTCAGGTAGGCAGCCGGCCTAGCTGTCCCCTGTTTGTAAGGCCAGAGGGTCTGGGCAGAACCAGATTTTAGGCTCTAGGGACACAAAGATGCAGCTGAGGTAGTTGAGAGCCCAAGACTTTTCTTCCTCCCGGAGAGGTTGGTGTGTGGCCCTAGACCCAACAGGCCGGGAGTGGGGGTTCCGGAGAGCTGGGCTGGCAAGGGGTCAGGTTGGGGAGCTGAGTCAAAGCCAAGGGCAGCAGCCAGTGCCACAGGGCCTGATAGGAGTGACCAGCGTTGGCACGAGCCACCAGGTGTGGGTAGGGACAGCCCACAGGCCTGCTGGTCAGTGCTGCCTGGGGCTGGGCCTGGGGCAGAGGTGCGAGACAAAGCGGACACGGCCCTCCGAGGACAGTTCCCTTCCGGGTGCCACCCAGGGCTCACAGCAGCAAATGGGCAGCAGTGATGATTGTGGGCCGTTATTGTGCCAAGCCTGTGCCCAGCTCTTTACACACAGTCTTACTCAGTCCTCACTCCGGCCCTGTGAGGTAGGTACTGTTGTTGCCCCAAAGGTGTGTTCATCTGAGGAAACAGCTGTAGGGACATCAGGGAGCCTGCCCGGTCACAGGGCTAGCAGGGGCTGAGGCAGGACTTGAACCCAGGCGTCCTGAATCCAGAGCAACGTCCTTAATATTGATTGGGAAATAGACATGTGGGGGGGGTGTGTGTGTATATCTGTGGTGTGTGGAAGGGCGTGGTATATATGTGGGGTGTGTGTGGGGTGTGGGGGGGTTGTGGTATGTATGTGGGGGTGTGGTTTGGGTGTATGAGGTGTTGGGGGGGACCGGGAGGTGTGTGTTGCCCATTACAGCATTTGCCGTCACAACCAGAGAGAGCTTTGAGGGATCATACCAAAGTCCCCAGCATCGGAGCCAGACTCCTCATGGCCTAGAAAGCATGATTACAACTCCTTACTCTCACAAGATTTAGGCAGTTGAGTTTGGAAACTTTTGTCTCTTAAGTTGTGGGGTTCTGTTTGCTTAATTGGGAAGTACATATGTGGTTCAAAACAATTTAGATAGCGCCAGGGATACACAGTGAAAAGTAAGTTTTCTGCCCACCCCGAGCCTGGACTCGTTCCCCAGAAGCTGCTGGTCTCTCCCGCATCCTGCCCCGGAGCTCCTGTGCACATGTGTGTGGGGGTGTGTTTGCGGGGGGGTAGCCCCCTTCCCAAAACGCCCACAGGGGCTGGCCTACCCTTTCCAGCGCCCTGCACCCCCCTCGATTCCCGATGGATGCTGTCCTCCCCCCTGCGCAGCGCAGGGTAGGCTGGCGGCGCTCTCTGAAACGGCTCCCAGGGGCCCGGAGCGGGCCTGCAGCGGCGCTCGCCGGCCCCTACTCATGGGCACGCAGGATATTTCCAGACTCTGCTCTTCCAAGTGCTTTTGCCAGGAACGTCTTAGACTTGGCTCTGCGTGCGCACGTGTTGGAGCTCTGTGACGTTCTGGCTCTGCCAGTGCTTCAGTGAAGGGTCCCCGTGCACCTGGGGAGTGGACGTGGGGTATGCGTGGATACTCGTTCTGGAGGAGCCCGGGAGAAGTGGGCTTCTAAAAGTGATCCCCACCCTCGTGCTGTCCCTCCTGCCACCGCCCGGGCGCTGTGGACAGGGGATGGGGCCCGGGGCCAGGATCAGGCACCCGACGACCCTCACCGTCCTGACCCCAGCGGCCACACTGGCCCTCCGGGCCCTCAGAGTTTTACGTCAGGAGCCACCCTCAGAAGATAGGTCTGTTTTTCTGGTTTTCTCTTTCCTCTGTTTCTTTTCCTCTTGTTAACATGTGCATTTTACTTTACATCCTGGGTGGATTCTTGCCTTCAGCAGAAGCAATGTCTCCTGGGGCCCTTCCAAGCACAGCTCTCCCCACACTCTCTTCCCACAGTGCCGCCAAGTCCAAGCCGATTATCGCGGAGCCCGAAATCCATGGTGCGCAGCCCCTGGATGGGGTGACTGGCTTCCTGGTGCTGATGTCGGAGGGGCTCTACAAGGCTCTGGAGGCTGCCCATGGGCCCGGGCAGGCCAACCAGGTGAGCCCGGCTCGGGCAGGGCGCCGCCAGCCAGCCCGCAGAGCGGTGTGCTCCCCTGGGGACCCAGGCAGCCCTCCTGCTCGCTCCACGGAGGGACCCAGAGCTCCGGTTCTCAAATGCCCTCACCAGACAGCTTCTGTGCGTTCAAAGCTGGGGGAAGAAAATGTCCAGCGCTCTGAGAACACCCATCCCACCCAAAAGCCGTGCTTGTCCTGGGCTTGAAGCAGGGTCTGTCCCCAGGGCCCCTGGAAGTGAATTTCCAGGGGCACATTGCTCTGGAGTGTGTCTGAGAAGGGCCCGGGTCCAAGGAGGAGGGCCCAGAGGGTATGGCCTGAGCCTGAGCCTCCCTCCGCCTCCCCTCCCCTCCCCTCCCCTCCTCTCCTCTCCCTTCCCTTCGCCTCTGAGCTGCACTCGCTCACAGCTTGCTCTTCCTCCCTGACACAGGGGGTGATAACATCTGCCTTTTGGGGGCTGTGGTGAGATCGAGGTGTGATAAGCTTAGGTCCCCTGCCAGTGGGACCCACTTATTTTTCCTGTGCTGAGAGCACACGTGCCAGACAATTGTCCCTAACGCTGTGGCTTCGAGACAGTCACCTCAAGGATGATTTTGAAGGGAAGCTGCCCTTTCCTGACCTTGGATAGTGAATTCAGGTTGTGGGTCTCCTTCCGTTTGTGCTTCCTGTGGGAAAGTAATCTTTTCTTTTTTTTTTTTTTTTTAAGATTTTATTTATTTGACAGAGAGAGACACAGTGAGAGAAGGAACACAAGCAGGAGGAGTGGGAGAGGGAGAAGCAGGCTTCCCACAGAGCAGGGAGCCCGATGTGGGGCTCGATCCCAAGACCCTGGGATCATGACCTGAGCCGAAGGCAGACGCCTAACGACTGAGCCACCCAGGCGCCCCTGGAAAGTAACCTTTTCTGCTTTGTCCTCTTTTTAATTAAAAATCAGGAGGAAAATGTCTCATGCGCCTGTCTCCTGATAACCCATGTTCAAGGTTTTTCATCCATTTTGTCTTACCGTTCCTGCCAGTGGCCGTGTAACCCAGGAGGCAGGGGCTCACTGCCCACGTCGAGTTGGGGAACATGGGGCTCATGGAGTTCAGGGGCTTGCCTGAGGTTCTGAGGTGATGGCTGGTCAGTGATGGGCCCAGATGGGGCTTGGGTCATCTGTGACCTGCCCCAGCTCTCCTACCTCCAAGAGATTCAGGCTAGCCATCATGTGGAGGAGTTTGTGTTTGTGAACTTATTGTCAGTGTGATTTTTTTTTTTTCCTCTTTTCCTTGTTTTTGGTCTTCGCCAAAGAATTACCCAGTGGCTTTTGCTGGGTTCTAGAATAAACTGGATAGTGGACTTCTCTGAGCCCCGTCTTCATTCTGTATTCCCTATTTCTAACAAAAATGGTGTAATGTAGTCTACAGTAAGTTTGTTCCAGGAAAGTAAACCTAATAATAACAGCAATTCGTACCAGGCTTTTTTGTGGTCTCCAGAGTGCCCTCCCATCCACTGTGCAATTTAATCCTCCTAATAACCCAGCGAGGCGGATATTATCCCCCATTTTATTGGTGTGGAAGCCAACAATTGGAGAGATCACAAGGTCACACCTTTTCTAATGAGAAAGTTCCAGAAGAATTATCCTGAATACCTTGAAAAGCTCGGATTACAGGCTTGGCTGGTGAAGACTTCCTTCACCTGCTTGGCTGATGCCCCCTAAGCATCCGGATTCAGCTCTGAAGTCGTGGGCTGCAGTCCTGGGCGCCCCCTCCCTGTTCCTCACCAGCTCCCCCTTCTCCCCAGGAGATCGCCGCCATGATCGACACAGAGTTCGCCAAGCAGACTTCCCTGGATGCCGTGGCCCAGGCCGTGGTGGACCGGGTGAAGCGCATCCATGGGGACACATTTGCCAGCGGCGGCGAGCGTGCCAAGTTCTGCCCGAGGCATGAGGACATGACCCTGCTGGTGAGGAACTTTGGCTACCCGCTGGGCGAGATGAGCCAGCCCACACCGTCCCCGGCCCCAGGTATGTGTGCAGCGTAGACGGGGAGCTACCTGAGGAGGCCGGCCGGGCCCGGGGTTGGGGTGGGCCTTGCTGCCTGGAGTGGACGTGGAGCCAGAGGCCTGGCTTGGAACCATTCTAATCTGGTCTCAGAGTCTTTTAAGCTTTCTGATCTGAGTTTGTTGTTGTTGTTGTTGTTTTTTCCCTTTTGCCTGTGAAATGAGGATCCTAGCACCTGCCCGGCAGGCCTCCGAAAGGCCTGAGTGCGTGAACAAGCGCTTTGCCAAGCCACAAGGCCACAGAATAGGGATGGTAGCTGCCACTGCTTGGGTGTCTACCGGGTCCACAGAGTTCCCTCAGGCCTCCTGAAAACCCGAGGCTCAGGTGGCACCCCCTTTTACTGAGGAGCTGAGGCTCTGGAAGGAAGAGAGGGAGGTGAGGTTAGACATGTGGACAGAGGGTCCCCCGAAGCCTGGCTCTGTCCCTGGTCCTTGTCGGGGGTGAGGCTGAGACGCCTTATTTTCTGCCTTTGTAATTCTGTGATCAGGTTGCTCAGGAAGAGAGGTGCTGATCCTTTTCTGTTTCTCTCCCAGGGCTGCTCAGTGTCAAGACCATCAATTCCTAGGGGCTGTGTTTCCTTTTCTTTTTTCAGACAAGCAGGGCTTAGCGTGCGAGCAGTGGATTTGTTTCCCCACAGACACCGGGGTCACCCGATTTTCTCTAACTTGTTTTTGCAACCAGATTTTTGCTGGGCCAACCTCAGCTTACCCCTCGGCTGAGAGCACCATGGGAAGCCTGGCAGTAACCCTTTCCTCGAGGCAGCTCAGTGCATGCGCTCCTCCTGCTTTAAGTACCACTGGTGCTTTGTTGCTGAGATGAAACCCCCCCCGCCCCTGCCGCCGCTGCTGTCTGGTAGAGTCTGCCCTGAGACAGACATCCCTTCACTGTCCCAAGGGGCGGTGTCGGGAGCCAGGCCTGGCCGCTGCCCACCTACTCGGCCCCTCAGACACTGCCCCCAGCAGGCCCCACAGCAGCCCTGTTCCCAGCACCCCAGGGATCTCCCCTCAGCCACTCCCTGCGGCCCTCCGCTCTCTTCCTCCCCAAGCTGCAGGAGGACGTGTGTACCCCGTCTCCGTGCCGTACTCCAGTGCCCAGAGCACCAGCAAGACCAGCGTGACCCTGTCCCTCGTCATGCCCTCCCAGGGCCAGCTGCTCAATGGGGCCCACAGCGCGTCCACCCTGGACGAAGCCACTCCCACCCTCACCAAGTAAGCCCTCACCCCGCCCGCAGCCTCCCACAGGCCTGCCTCCTGGGACAGCCTGCCTCCTGGGACAGCCCTCAGTACCTGGACATAAGTGGCCACGGGGCCAAGTCCTGGGGTCGAGTGATGTTGGGTGAGGTGCGCTGGGGTCCTGTGCCTCTCACATCCTCCAGCTCCATCCCTGGGGGTCCTCCCCAGACCCGGAGGCAGGAGGAGGCAGCCCTGCAGGTTCCAGCAGCTCACTGAACCCAGACCTGGGAGGAGTGGAGGTTCGGGGGCAGAGTGGGCGAGGCGGGCTGGGAGGAGACAGGCCGCTAATGCGGACAGCCTGCTGTTTGTGCTTTCCCGTGGGCCCCACAGGTTCGTGTTCCTTTAATGGGAAGGTTCTCCTGTTCTTTTCTCTTCTCCCATCTTCTCCCCATCTCGGAGCCTCCCCGGTGGCATCCATGCTTGGGGGACATTGTTTGGCCTTTGCTGGCTGGTCACAGCCGGTGCTCTGACTCAAGCGTCCCATTTTAGCTTTAGAGTGAGTCGTCTAGTTTAAGGCGCGGGGGGGGGGGGGGGCGGAGGCAGTAGGAGGCCCAGAGTCTAGGGGTGAGCCGTCTGGCCCCCTCGCTGCAGACCTGCCTCACAGGTCTGTGTCCCTCCAGCCGCTTCCCTTCTGTGGAATGTCCACCCCCCCCAACCCCACCACCCCAGGGGACCGGGATCTGGTTTCCACATTCCAGCCCTGCGCAGAATAATAGGGATGCCACACCCAGCCCACTCAGAGGATGTGGCCAATTGGAAGGGCCGCCCAGGAGGGAGTGGTGCTGTTGGCCTCGGCCTCCCAGGGGGCCTTCCGGCTCCCTGCCCCCACTGCCACCAGAGCTGCTGCTGCTGGGGGCCAGAGGGGCCTGCCAGGCAGCCGAGTGGTGGGCATCCCAACTGCAGGGCTGCCCGCAGGAAACCACCAGCAGTGTCCACAGAGGCAGAGCGGGACAGCACGGGTCCCAGGCCAGGCAGGAGAACCAGCCATCCTGCCGTACCTCTGCTCCTGGGGACCCTAAACGGCCCCTTCCCTTCAGCCTGTGTCTGGGTGTTAGGTGGGCCCCACTGTGGGTCGGCCAGGGCTGGGTTCCGGGCAGTGCTAGGAGTGTGTGGGACGGCAGGCTCGCAGGTAATGCCCGGCTGTGAGGTGCTTTGTGACAGAGCCGGGTGCCCAGGGAGCTCTGACAACAGGGGGCCTGTCCCACCCAGCCAGTTTTTGGGGAGAAGAGCCCTTGTCTGCCTGTGGTCAGTGGGATTTGGAGAGGCTGGAGTGGATCGCCTCTAGCTCAGCACTGTTCTGAGGGGAGATAGATGTTCTGTGTCCGAGACTGTAGCCACTCGGATGCGTGGTGATCAAGCCCTTGAACCGAGTGATCCGTTCTATTAAATTCTAATTAACTTAAGGAGCCATGTAGAGCTAGAGCTTGGAAAATACGTTTGAGTTTTCCTCAGCCCTTAAGAACATCTGACCGGGCTGGCTCTCGTGGCCTGAGGGGCCTCTCTGTTCCTGACTGCCTGTCCCCTGCGGTCCCCACAGCCAGAGCCCGACCCTGACGCTGCAGTCCACCACCACGCACACACACAGCAGCAGTTCCAGCTCGGACGGGGGCCTCTTCCGCTCCCGGCCCGTGCACTCCCTCCCGCCTGGCGAGGGCGGCCGTGTGGAGCCTTACGTGGACTTTGCTGAGTTTTACCGCCTCTGGAGCGTGGACCATGGCGAGCAGAGCGTGATGACGGCACCATAGCCCCGGCTGGGGGATGTGGCCCGAGCAGGACCAGGCCTGGGGACAAGGGGGCCCAGAGCTCTGGGGCCGGATGGGCCTTTTCCTGTGGTCTGCCTTTGCCGTGCGGGCCCAGGGAGCGCCCGGTCCTCAGCCTGCACCACGCTCGCACCCCGCCGTCCTCGGTGCTGCAGAGAACGTTCTCCTGGAGAGCAGCCCTGCACACCGGCCCTGGCCGCGGCACCGGCAGTGGGGGGCTGGAGGCCCCTCCCTCAGGCAGACTCAGCCAGGACCGTTGCTGTTTCTCGGACAGACGGCTCAGGGTAGAAGCCGCACTGGCCGGGGGTGGGGGTGGGGGCTGCCGTGTGCGGCAGAGCGCGAGGTGTTCCGCGGCCCAGCATGCCATGGGTCCGGCAGCCGCCGCTTTCTCTGCCCCTGCAGCCCGGGCTGGGGGTTCCCCCCTTCCTTCCTCAGCCTCCAGAGTGGAGCCCCGTGTGGCACCTGCACCTTCGAAGCCTGCGCCCATCCCTGTGGGGGATGGCCCCCCTGGGCCTTCCCAAGTTGTTGCCAGTAGTCAGTGTTCAGGAAGGCCAAGGGAAGCGTGGGGAACCTGGGTGACTACACAGGGGCAGGTCAAGTGAAAAGGACCGAGAGGGGACGGGTCCAAGGGGAGCACTGGTCCTGGAGCCCACTGGAGGGGGTAGGCTGGGTGTGGTTGGCCCCCCCCAGACATGGGGGTGCAGGAGAGGTGAGGACGTGGCCGCTCTTGTCAGGCTCCTCCAGGAGCGGGGGGGGCCCCGGATCGGGGGGAGCCGGTGCTGCGTTGTTTTCCCTTCACCACCACAGGTTGGGGAGCCACTACGATTAGAAAACGGGTCAAGAGTCAGGCCGGGGGCGGGGGGCGCATTTGAAAGAACAGTGGGAAGGAGGTTCTTGGATACCAGGTGCCCTGGGTGACTGGGGGCTTCAGAGACACGCCCCACTCTTATGCCTGGGGACGGGACCGGGCCAGCCCAGGCCCCGAGAGCACGCCTTCTCAGCCTTTGGAGGGCAGAGACTGGCAGCGCCGTTCCTGCGGGCCCAGGACCAGGCAGGCCCAGGGGACTCACACGTGCCGGCTCCCACCGTCAGTGGTGCAGCAGAAGTCAGGAGGCCGCCCTGGATCCCTCCCCAGCTCCCCAGCTCCCAGGCTCCTGCCCCGCGACGCCACAGGGACTGGCTGCCATGTGCGGCCTCCGGGGCGCCCGGACTCTGGACAGTCGGAGGCCAGCTCCGAGGCCCCGGCCGCTGTGCGGTGCAGGACCGCGTCTCCCGCCCCGCACCACGAGGCCGGCTCCGTTCCGCAGGGGAGCAGATTGAAAGTCCGTCGCGAGGGCTTGCGGACAAAGAGAATCCTCTGCCAAGAATGTCTCTGTGATGCTGTTTGGTCTCTAGAAATAGAACCACTTTTTTACCGCAATAAAGAAAGAGTAATAGGTGGTCTTACACATCGGGTGTTAAGAGTGCTGTTACTCGGGTCTCGTGTGCGTCGCAGCGGCCTGGGGGGCTGGACGCCTCCTCCGGTCTCGCTCCGCAGCCGGCGCCAGCCTTCTCATGGGACGTGCGCGGCCGGCCTCACAGCCCGGCGGGACAGCGCTGGGTGTCCGGCACCCCCCCTCCTCCCGGTCCCCGCACATCCGGGGAGGGGACCGTTCTGCCGCAGACCCAAGTCCTCCAGGCCCTGTGAGCAGCGGCGGGGCCGTGGGCAGCTCTCGCCTTTCCTGACAGGGCGCCCGGTTCTCGGTGTGTGAGCCGTGCTGTGGCCGACAGCTCCGGGTCGCCAGGAGGGCGCCCTCCCCCGTCACCAGATAGTCGGCATTCAGGCAGTTCCTTTGCTTTATTTCGGTTTTGTTTGGGTGGAGGACTTTCTATAAATACTAGTCCACAAATACTAGCCTCTTCGTGCTTTACAGAACTAACAAGGGCGTCTGCTTAGGAGCCAAAGCAAAGCTCAGTGTTTGGGTGGTGGCATCTGAGGCTCCCAGATGCCCCTGCCCCTCTGCTGGGAAGGGGCTCGAGGCACAGGGCTCCACCTTGAGAACGGTGGGGCCCTCCTCAGCTGTCCCTCGGGAGGCCCTTGGGAGCACTGCTGGCCCGAGACCTGGAGTCTTGGTGTCCGCCCAGCACCCTGAGAGGGAGGCGGTGGGTGCACCGTCTCTCAGGTGAGTGACTGAGGCGGAGACGAGTGGGCATGCTCCCTGTCACAAATGGCCCCGTCCAACCCCTAGCCCATGGGCCTCCCCTAGCACCTGCTTTGCCCCAGGCATGGGGGGCAGGGCCCTGCCCAGCTGGCTTTGTGCTCCCTGTGCCCCGTCCTCGCTGTCACGCAGTTCCACTTGGGCCGGCCTCCTGGTGCCGAGAGGGGCACCGGTTTAGCTTCCTGGTTCCCTTTGGTCGATTAAGCTGTGCGGCAGAGAGGGCTAGTTGAGGAGTCTGTCTTAGGATCTCAGAAATGGCAAGAGTCAGGCCAAGAAGAGAACAGGGCAGCCACGCGTGGCTGCAAAACCACAAGCCCGCCCTTAACGTATGAGGCGGGCCGACTGCCGATGCGCACGCTGGGCCGAGCCGCCCCCCACCGCCTCACGGGGAGAGCGTTCAGTTTTCCTGGGGCTGGATCAGATAGAACCAGAGAAGCCCGCCCATCACGTGCTGCCTGTGTCCACTTGTCCCTCGAAGACATCCGGTCCCCTCACAGGATGGGATTCAGTCACCGCCTTGATCGACAACCTGGCCTGGGTCAGACCGGATGAGGCAGGCCTTCGTGAGCTGCTGTTACCCCGGGGCCCCAGGCGGCGGGGCAGGCCGCAGGGACATCCGGCAGCGCCAGGAGCCCCGTGGACGCTCTTGGGCCATCTTCACAAGGATTTGTTCTCTTGTGTGTCCAGCCTTCTTCTGGCCCTCATTCTCACAAACTGACCCTGCAGCTGAGCACCGGCAGTGAGACCTGTCAGGGGCCACTCAGGCCACTGGAACGTTCTAGGGAAAGGCACCTGATCGGGCTCTTTACACGGCTGCCTCCTTCCTGTCGTTCAGGCCTCCGCACAAATGCTACATCCTGACGGAGGCCTGCCCTGGTCCCACCCCAGCCACATCCCGCCCATCTCCCTGTGGAATCTGCTTCACAGAAACTGCCTGATATTTCTTGCTTGTTTATCTGTGTTGTCTCTCTCACCCACTAAGATGACCCCTCTGTGGGGGGGGGGACTTTGTCTTCCTTACTCCATCCGGTCCCAGCTGCAAGGTCAGTGCCAGCCACATAGTAGCCCCCACATACATGTTAAACGAAAGTGATGAGCTGTGTGACCTTGGACAAGTCACTTGACCATGCTGAGCCTCTGTTTCTTCATCTCTAAAACGAGGAAACAACCAACTTGTTGATAAGATTGCCCGACAGGCCTGAGTCACCCTACAGATGGGAAATGGACAAGATTTCCTCCCCTCTCCCCCCCATGCCTCCCACAGACTCAAAACACCTGTAAAATGAAGGTCCCCCCCCCCCCCCCCCCGCCGGGGCCTCCCATGGAGCAGGTGTACTGGCAGCTTCCCCTAGGAACCCAGACACTGGGGAGTGCGTGTGTGCTGCTTGCCTCGTCTCAGCCAAAGCCCAGAGGGAGGCGATCCGCTGGGCTCCTCGACGTTTCTTCCAACAAGGGCATCTTTCATGATTTTTCCTTCTGGGCCCCCTATTTTGAAACCAAACAAGGACGCAGATCACTGCCAATCCAGACAGGCTCGGCATGAGCATGCGCTTTGTTCCCACGCAGAGCTGATGTCAGCCCCGAGCAAAGACGGGCACTTGACATTTCCACGAGCCTGGGCAGCCTCCCCCAGGACAGACACAGTGTCTGGCAGCTGGCTTTGAGGAATATGGACACCAGTTCACAGACTCCATTCCTGCATTCGAGACCCCCAGAGAGGTCAGAGGACCCCAGGCTGTGCGGATCAGTTGTTTGGTCCAGCACCTTCTTGCCTTCGTTCTCTCAGGTCACGTGGTGGGCTAGGGCAGGGACAGGGACAGGCCACTCCCTCAAGGCCAGAGCCCCAGACTGTCTCCACACCTTCCATGATCAAGCTCCTATGCTTGTTACCTCAGCAAAGCCATCCTGTGGTCCAGACAGGGCTGAGCTCAAGAACCTTCCATAGCTCCAGCCTCCTGCTCCCAGCACCTGCTGTGTTGGTCACTCGTGAGCTCGCTCCTTCCTCTCCCCCAGCCCTGAGACCTCCCCTGAGCCCCCTCCACCTAGACTATCCTCCAGGCATCTCAGTAGCTGGGGGCTAGTCTAGGAAGCATCTAGGAGGTGTCAGAGGAACTTGGACGGATAGATGAATTGCCTAGAGAAGAGCTGGAACTTTTCTGCGGGAAATACCATCACCTTATAGAAAACTACTCCTACCCTGGCACCCCCAGAGTTTGGGGGTTTCTAAGAAATTAGATGTCGCCATTTATGTTGAATATCGAGGTGAATTCTGCAGTCAAATTCATAATATCAAATGGTTTTCTTTAGTACAAAAGCAACTTTTCTTTTTTCAGAAATAGCATTTAAAATGACTTATTAACAAGTCACTTTAAGAAGTGCACCACGTCAGCTGAGCGGATCTGTAGAGCTCGACACGCCCCGGGGAACCCAGCGGCGGCCAGGCTGAGGGGCTCAGGTGGCCCTCTGAAGACTCGCCCATTGCTGAGGGTCAGGTGGGGACTTGCGAGGCCTTCATTCCCCAGGGTGGCCCTTGTGGGCTGCCCTCCACACCCAGAGCCACCAGGCAGGATTTGTGTCTGAGGGTCTTCTGGGTCCCATCATTAGCCACCCCTGTACAGATGTGGAGATAAAATACAGACGGGTTAGGAAGTCTGGGCAGAGATCTGGGGAGACAGATGTCTGCTCAAGCTCAGAAAGAACTTTGCAACGGCGTCCGAGGTGGATGTCGTCTTGCTGGCTGCCTGTGGGAGGTGAGGAGCTTCCCATCAGCACGGGTGTGTGAGGAGAGGCTACGCCCGCCTGGTCCCCAGGGGGCTGGGGGAGGACTGAGCCGCAGGCCCCAGCCCGGCTGTGCATCAGGGCCATGGGGCCACGAAGACCAGTGCTGATTACAAGGACAGATTCCTTGGCCCCTCCCAAATCAGAACCTCCCGAGGGGGGGGGCCAGTGAGTTTGGGATCTGACAAGGCTGGAGGTTCTTGACCGGGGAGGCTGGGCTGGCCACCTTCTGCCATCCTGCCTCCTCCATGTGGCCTTTCATGATTTGGGGCCTCTGGAAATCCCGCCTCTGTGTGCCTCTGGGGGACCTTGG